AACCATCTGTAAGGAGATCTGGCGCCCTCTTCTGGCATGCAGGGGTACATGCAGGTAGAACACTGTATACATAATAAAATTTGAAAAATTATCTTAATAGAGTCTTTCACTGGGCAGAAGTTTTAATTTTAGTAGAGTCTAATTTACCAGGTTTATTTCCCATGGGTTATACTTTTGTTGTTCTGTCTAAAAGCAATCACCAAATGCCTAAATTTCCCCTTACGTTATTTTCTACACGTTTTATAGTTTTGCATCTTATATTTAGATTCACAGCATGTCTGAGATAAATTTTGTAAAAAGTATAAGGTTTTTCTGGATTTATTATTTTGTCATTTGATGTCAGTTACTCTAGAATCACTTACTGAAAAGATTAGCCTTTTTTTTAAAAAAAAAAAGATATTAAAAAATTTATGTGCAGCCAGGTGCTCTGGAGCAAGCCTTTAATCCCAGCACTTGGGAGACAGAGTGAGGCAGATGTATGTGAGTTCAAGGCCAGCTTGGTTTACAAAGTGAGATCCAGAACAGCCAGGAATGATACACAGAGAAACCCTGTCTCTGTGGGGATGGGGCGTGGGGGGGTGCGTGAAGAAAGAAAGAAAGAAAGAGAGAGAGAGAGAGAGGGAGGGAGGGAGGGAGGAAGGAAGGAAGGAAGAAAAAAGAAAAGAAAGGAAGAGAAAAGAAAAGAAAAGAAAAAACACAAAAAGTCTGTGCGTGTGTATGGGGTGGGTGGCGTATGTGGTCATCGTGGGCAGCACTGAATCCCCCAGAGCTGGAGTTACAGAAGTCCTCAGAAAACCAGGAAGCTGTCTAAGCCCCAGGGCCACCCCTTCCCTTTGGAATCACCTTTGCCCTTTTTATCAAACTCAGTTGACAGGACTTGTGTGGGTGAAGTCCTGTCTCGTGTTCTCTATACCCCTTCACACTTCTAACAGGTTAAGGGTGGACACAGATGTCAGAGCAAGTGACCCTATCTGCTGAGCCATCTCGCTGGCCCTCTTGCTGGCTTTCATTGAATAATTTATGACTCTGTTTTCTGTCTTGCTTTAGCATGTCCATCAAACCTCTCTTTCGGAGTATTTCAGTGGTTGGTCCACAATGACAGTCTGCACTTTTAATATGGTTTGCTTCCAAGTATCACTGAAACTGCTCTGCTTCTCTTACACAAATTGCTACCTGTTAGATCAGTTAACAAGAAGAAGAGTTTTGCTTTGAGTTGGGTTTTTGTTGTTGTTGTTGTTGCTTGTTTGTTTGTTTTTTGTTTTTTGCTTTTCTTCTCTACTGATCTCCTTTCTTTACATGGGCCTGAGTCTCTGACCGACCTGCACCGTTTCCTTCCCTCTATAGAACAGTTTGCCAGGAAGGTCTGCTGGTGACAGCCATTTCTTACCTGTTCACGTGAGAAAATCTAACATTGCTGAACACAGGATTTGAAGTTGATGAGATCAGTTTTCAATCTTTTTGACATCTGATCGTCATTGTCCCGGCTCGTTCTGAGTAGAAGCACAGGGGTTTGTCCTACAATAAGGCGTGTCTCCCCGGCGTCTCACTGGGTCTGCTCTTTGCCTTTGATTTCCCTCAGTTTTATTACTATCTCCTTAGGGGATAATCTTTTTGGTACCTCTGAACTTGCTGTATCTGTGATTTAATATCTGACATCAACTTTGGAAAATTCTCAGCCATTGTTACTGCAGATACTTCTTTTGTTCTTTTGCAGTTGGTCTTTCTTTGGGATACCAGGTCATAAATAATAACACGGAGACTTAGTAATTATGAAAGCTCAGCCTTAGCTTAGGTTTGTTCCCACCAGCTCTTATAACTTAGCCCATATTCTTATTAATCTATTATGTTCTACCACATGGCATTACCTCTCTTCCATCTTGCAACTCCTATTTCCTCTCCATGTCTACTGGTGTCTCCTGCACACCTAGATTCCTCCTCCTCTTCCTTGGAAATCCCACCCATACCTCCTGCCTAGCTATTGGCCATTCAGCTTTTTATTTCACCAATCACAGCAATATATCTGCACACAGTGTGTAAATATCTCACAGCATTCCTTTCTCTCCTCCGGAACCCCCATCACCTACATGTTACATGCTTTGTAACTTACTCTCAGTTATTGAGTGTTTTGTTCCACTTTTTTCATTTTTTTCTGCTTTACATACCAGCTTTGGAAGAGTCTATTGGCATTTATTCAAGGTCACCTTTTTTAAAAACTAGGGATGTCCCTGTCCTTAAATGTATAGACAATAGGTCATGCTCAGTATATGCACTGGTTTGGAGGGCAGTGATGTTGGAAACAGGAAGATCACTGAGGCAATAGTGGCAGTTTAAATGAGAACTTGAATGAGGATGGTGGCCATCGAGGCAGTAGGGATAGGCAACAGGTATGCACGTGATTCATGGACATACATGAAGGTAAAACATTCATATATATAAGAGGAAATAAACCTAAAAAAAGAAAATACCACAGTCAACACCACAGCCCACAACTCAGCCCACATCACACAGCCAGCACAACAGCCAACACCACAGTCAACACCATAGCCAACACCACACAGTCCACACCACAGCCAACACCACAGTCAACACCATAGCCAACACCACAGCCAACACCACAGCCAACACCACAGTCAACACCATAGCCAACACCACACAGTCCACACCACAGCCAACACCACAGTCAACACCATAGCCAACACCACACAGCCCACACCACAGCCAACACCACAGCCCACACCACAGTCAACACCACAGCCAACACCAGTCAACACCACAGCCAACACCACAGCCCACACCACAGTCAACACCACAGCCAACACCACAGCCCACACCACAGTCAACACCACAGTCAACACCACAG